TGTATATCATGAAATAGTGAAAGCAAAAATATATTATAATAATAAATTAGACATAATACACTGCAGAGTGGAATTAAATATATATTTCTCAGTGTCACCTGCTTTTTTGAAAAATGGTGCTTGCTAGTACTGTAGAATACTTTATTTTCGCTTGGAATTAATTTTCGCTGAAGGAATGATTCAGTGAAAATAAAATCCAGTGAATATGCTGTTATAAATTCCATACAAAACACTCAAATAGTCTATTAAACAAAAATTAATTCCAGCTAAAATTAAATATTTCACAGTATTGCTTTTGAATTGTGACTTCATTATAGCAGTCCTTATTGGATGTGTTAATACCAGTATTCATGAATATAAAATATATATTTGTTAGTTATTTTTTTAGAAAATTAACTTGTATGATGTTATTTCACTAGTGAAGCCTTGAGTGCGTCTTCCATGGTTTTGAACCATTTGTGGAATGTAAACTGATCATGTCAAAAGCTCAGCATAAAATCTAACCAAGCAGTGTTGTCATCAGTGTTGTGCCAGTCTGGCTGTAATTGCTCAGTTCTGTTGATTATTTCTCCACAATGGTACTATAAATGGTATCGCTCTATTTTGTTACAAGAAAATGAGTAAAAATGCAATCATTTCAGCTCACCACATCTTTGATACAAATATTTGATTATTCATTTCCCACAAACACATTACATTATGCATATTCAATACTAGTACATTGCAACAAATTATTCTAGTTTATTAACTATGTTTGTGTGAATTAATTTTAATTTGCATATATGAATCGTTTATATGGTAATGTAGAAAGAATTGTAGTTTACGGTAATATACATTTCTAGAAATGTTTGTCTTCATGCGACTTGAAAATGGATTATCATCGGTATGTCAATACGGGCATTAATACTAGTGGTTTGCATATTGATAATTGTGTGGTCACATTTACTGAAACTATAATATGTCATATATGAATAATATATAATAAATAATAACTCAACTGGAATGCATTGTGTTTTCTGTTCAATAGTTTAAAGTCAATGCATGTTCAATTTAATGTTGATCGACTTTTGCATGCATTGATGTTGACTCTCCTATGAATTGATGTTGATTGATTTTCACCTACATTGTGAGGTTGACTCTTGCATGTTTCTTTTACACATTGGTGTTGACTTTCACATATATTGGTGTTCACTTTAACAAATATTGATGTTGACTTTAACAAATATTGATGTTGACTTTCACATATATTGGTGTTGACTCTCGTATGTATTTGTATTGTCAAAAGATATTCATTCCAGAAATTACTTCACTCTGACCAAAGAATTGTGTTTGCATAAGTATGAGAGTTGTATCCAAAATATTTAGATATTGTTTCAGTTGTCATTTTTGAACTTTTGACTTCCACATACATTGGTGTATATTGACTTTCACATACATTGGCGCATATTGACTTTCACATACATTGGTGCATATTGACTTTCACATACATTGGTGTATATTGACTTTCACATACATTGGTGCATATTGACTTTCACATACATTAATTTGTGCATATTGACTTTCACATACATTAATTTGTGCATATTGACTTTCACATACATTGGTGCATATTGACTTTCACATACATTAATTCGTGCATATTGACTTTCACATACATTGGTGCATATTGACTTCCACATTGGTGCATAATGACTTTCACATGCATTGGTGCATATTGACTTTCACATACATATATTGACTTTCCCATGCATTGGTGCATATTGACTTTCACATACATTGGTGCATATTGACTTTCACATACATTGGTGTATATTGACTTTCACATACATTGGTGCATATTGACTTTCACATACATTGGTGCATATTGACTTTCACATACATTGGTGCATATTGACTTTCACATTACATTAATTCGTACATATTGACTTTCACATACATTGGTGCA